ATTAGAAGGCGACATCTTTCTGTATTATTAGAAGGCGACATCTTTCTATATCATCAGCAGGCAACGTCTTTCTATATCATTAGCAGGCGACGTCCTTCTATATTATTAGCAGGCGACATCTTTTTATATCATTAGCAGGCAACGTCTTTCTATATTATTAGCAGGCGGCGTCTTGCTATATACTCATGGTGGCACAAATCAGCAGTGTCGACTCGATAATGCGAAGATTCGCTAGTCAAAACCAAATAGATCTTTTTGGATTCATTGTCTGGAACAATAGGTGATTCTATGTACACATATAAAACTCATGTGAATTGAAAAGGACATCATTGGATTTGGTAATTTACAAATACAAACAGTATCAGAGATGGTTTCAAGAAAAGAATCAATAGAAACATGTATGAGAATCATTATTATATCTAAAAGAGAACAGATACCATGGAAAGAACTTTGGATATAAAGCCAACCTTAGTAGGAGCCCTTCAGCGTAGTAAAATCATGAAAAGATCGACCCAACACCAAAATGTGACATCTTCATCATTAGCTAATTATACTATCACTTCCAAAAGCTATCATGAATTCAATTGATCCACTTACAAGAGCCAGAGGCTACGGGCAGTTGCTACTTCTTCAGTGTGCAAGTTGTCGAGGTCCTGCCGCCTAACCGGGCCAGTGTCACGGAAGCTTGGCGGTGCAATCTTTCAGGCGGCATGTCACATTAAATGGCGTTGCATAACTAGCAGTGCGGGCTGTCTCATTTTGGTCTTTTCGGTCTCATTTTGATCTATGGGCATCCGAGTAAGCGTCACATAAAATGTGACATTGTGCGGTGGAAGGATATTGTATTGGACTCCGTATGGTACGTGGCCATATTCATGGTGCCACGTCATTACGTTACATACCAATAACGACACATGATTGTTGAAAAATCAAAAACATGCCCTTTTATGATCCAGAAGTGTTTCCATTGTCTATGGTGGTGAAATTGGAGAGCAATACAGACATGCATGAGTGTACTATAAGTCTACTTGAACCATGGTCCTTGACACTACAAATTCCTATGACTTTGATACCATAAATACCTATAGACTTTGATACTAGATAACAATCTATAGTAGAGTGTGCTTTCTGGAACAGGCCAGGTGCCTGGCCCGCTAGCTTGAGAATCTCATGATCATTTTGATATGCTCTTACATCCTATTGTCAGCTTTAAAAAATAGACGTGTCTACATACTTTTTCCAGCACATTCGACATCGTGGAAAAATCAATCTAGTACCATACTTCTGCCTAATAATTCTAATAATAAACTAGGAGCTTCTCGCAATCTGGTCTGGAAACGAACAAAACATACGACCGTTGTTTGAGAGAGCCTCAGGCATGTCCAAACTTTCAAAGGTGGATGAATGCATGTCAAAAGACGAGTCGTGGTGAAGCATGGCTTCTGTATGCTCTTTGCTGGCAAAATTGAGCGCTTCTTAGTTCCAGTGATTCCAAAGAATTCCCCGAAGGCTTTTTAATTTCGAAGCAAAATATTTCCGTATACAATTGTTTGGTCACTTTGACTCTGAGTGTAAGCGATTGTTTCACGAAAGAAGACCTGTAACGGGCACTGGTACCCGGTAGATTTCAAACTGGTCAATTACTTGAATCACAGTTAAGTTTTTGAACAAAGACACCCGTAGCCAATAAACGAATATGTGGGAATTCATAGGCCTTTACTTCATTTATCTGGCTGTGAGGAGCCTTCAACCAAACCTCATTTTCACGCAATGCCGCAAGGTATTTCGTGATAAAGCTTCCAATCCGCCCTTTGTGCTTCACTTCGTTCCATGAGCCACTGACTGTTGAATTTTTGGTGTCTGCCAGATTTCTGCTTTCTTGTTTCTTTGGACCTTATGAATCAGTTATGACACAGAAATCGTGGTTGAGCTTGTTCTAAAAAAATTGTGGAGTGTCCCTGAAGACATGCGCCGGGTAGAATTCTTCTTCAAATTCCTGGCGGGTTGTCCAAAAAAGTCACAGGATGTCGCAAAACAAATATAAAGCCAGCTGATTTGGACTACCTTTTGCAAGTATTGAGGAACAAATGACGTACTCCAAAATGAAACCTTTATGATTTTATATCAAAATTATCAGGCAAATACACAGAAAAAATAAAACACCTCTTTCCGGCGTCTTGAAATTGTCTCTGTAGTTTTCAATTCACCAAGAGCTATACTCGATAGAGTTCCACATCAAGTATCCGACCCAAAGTCTGTTCTTGATACTTTTCATCGTGTAAGCCCCAACATTGCTCCTGAATTCCCAGCACAAAACCCAAAGAGCCCAATAAGAACTGGTTGATGGGGGAAAGCCGCTATTTATTATTTGACATATCACCATCGGGGTGAATCGTCACGAATTCGTGTAACATTATCATAAGGACCAATGTATGCGGAATTCTGCCCCAGAACTAGTGGGTGAGTTGTTTCAAGATCGTTGTCCTAAAGAAATTAGAAACAAGCAATCTCAAGCTCATAAATAAGTAATTTGAAAACCACCATTTGCACATGACTACCTGGAATATTCAGCAGAGAACTTCAAGAAAGCATATCAGATTTTGAGTGTAGCTCCCGAACCCTTTATAAAAGTTTTGGAAAGAATATTGCTAGCGAGATCATTCATTCCACCCGATTTCAGTTTTCATGCAAATGTTTTGAGTATACAAGGATGCTGGAGGTTTCGCAAAAGACTTTGATCAGTTTTATAGTACTACAAATAGTCACCGCCTTCAAATTCATGAATAATACCTTTCAAATATTCTTAACTCAAGCAGCCGAAGAGTTTGTAGTATGATACTTTTCAAACAAATGCACTCCAAGCTATGGTAAGTCAATTGTACATAAATGATTTACGTACTTGTCTCAAACCCAAAACTCCTTTTGAAAATACAAATTCCACTCTATTTCTCGAAGGCTTCAACCTTAATATGTGGCCACTACTATCTCTGAATATGCCTAAATCACTTTGGCTTCTGCTACTTAACCAGGTTGCATAAGGATAGTGGCATTCTATGTTCTGGGAAACGTCTTTTATCGTTTCTCGAATTTGCCTCCAATTTGCCTCGATGGTGTATCATCATATGACTTATGGAGTCTTCTATAATCCCCCAGTTCTCCCATGCCTCTGAAATTTAAATGAAACATATTTTATCTGAAGCCGTTGAAGGACAGGAGTATTGAATATATGATTAGGCAGATACACCACCCATTGGGAAAGGCTACTCTACCCTTCATGACCACCACTGTCCACAGCACAAACAATCAAATATCAAACTCATGGTGCTAGTGGCATGAAAGCTGCTTTTTTCAGCAACAACTTTTATGAAGTCGTTTTGTTTTTTTCGTGCGTGCTACGGGGACTCTCTATATCAGAATATTTTCATGTCTAGAGGTTCATATATTCTTTTGTTCATGATTGCAAGATAGTTCGTATGGATTGTCGTTTTCATTGAGATGGTGATGATAAGGTATCCGTTATGTTCATGGACGTTTCTTGTCTGGAACTATCTATTAATTCTTGGTCACCCTTTGACGAGAAGTGATTACACTGATGTATCTCGGTATAAACCTTACTAAAAAGAACATGCTGATTTTGTGTGTTATGAAGAATTGATTTTCCATAGAGAAACAATGAATTTTTTAATAGGCTGGATTTGGTGTCTTTATTCATAGAAAAAGTAAATTAGTAACTTGAAGACAATATTTTTGAGATCGGGTGGATAAATGTAGTAAGATACTAAACAAATCATCTGAATATCTAGCTCGAAGAGAAATAAAGGGCTCTTTTCAAAACAATTCCAATTTTTCTGAGGCGTGTTCTCGAAAATCTTCGTGACTGTAAGTAAGTGGTTTCCGTATCCCCAAATAACATTAGAAAATAATGAAGTTATATTCCATTTTCAAGGGAGATCCAAATAAGGGCTTATATAGAACGTCATTCTATTTTGGTTTTGGTTCAAAGGCATCAATGCTATTCTTACAAGCAAGATTTATGGGTCTGATCCGCAACCAGAAATCATAGTATTCAAAGTCTTAATTCTTTAAAGACTGAAAGCCTTTTTTATCTCCAGTCAACATTCTGCTAACTTTTTCACTCTTTGCTCGCTCATAGATTTCATTCGGTATATCAAAATTCGATGACCTTTTGTCCGCACAGGTTGATGTGTTCTTGTTACTGGCTGCTAATGGATCTTGACTGAATATATGTACCTGGCAAAACTCTGTATCGCTAATCGAACAAAAGGAAGGGGCTCGAGTTCAGATAGCTGGCATACGATATCCTGTTAACACAAGACCAAACACTTTCAACTATGCATGAATAATTGTGTTTTTTTTTTTTCTTTTTCAACTTCAGAAGTGAAAACCAAAGGTGATTTTGCTGAATTGGAAATTATGTAGAGATGCGGCTTTTTTCCGCGGGGCAACTTGAATAAGTATGAATCCCGCCAAAGCACAGAAAGGTGAAGAAGGTAATAACAAAAGTAATATTCGTATATCACGGCAAGATTTTCAAATTACTACTAATAGTGAAGGGGGCTATTTTCCCCGCAGCATTTCCTTTGGGTATATTCTTCATTGCCCACGGTACGAAATTACATTCGTGACTGAATATATGGATTGCACATCAAGACTTTAAAGCCTGGAAGGGGTGTTGGTGTATGGCAAAATACTTAAAACCATCCAGACCCAATACCAGAACAGGGGAATTATCAAGGATACACAATTCGGTCCAAATCAGTACCAGCACTCAACACGAGATATCTGTACCACAACACGAAATCAGTGTTTCGAATCATCTTTTTCAAATCTTGTATAAGTAAGCACTCAGCAACAGACTACTGGAAATTTTAAAGATCAAATGTCTCAATCAACAATTAACGTTATTCTCTAGAGTCATCCGTCAGATCCAATATCAGATCCAATAATCAGTTCCGATTTACATACAGATCCAATGATCAGAACCAGCTATTGATACCAATAATCTGAGTCGATGATCAGCTACAATAGTGAGTACAGTCATCAGCACCAGTACCCAACACCAATAACTGGACCAATTCTGAAAAACAGCTCGGTTCCAATTTAAAACATCAATATTCAGCACCAGTACGCAACACCCAGATTCCCCGCCAATTTTCAGAATAAGTTCTTGGAGCCAGTCCTTTGAATTTTCAACTTCCAGACGATATTCAGCCGTACCGAACTTACCAAACAAACTCTTAAATTGACCATCTACTTGTGCTCAGGACCAATAACCACTAATACTCAGGACCAATAATCGAACCAATCTTCAGACCAATAACCAGACTAATAGCCAAGTCGATCATCAAATCAAATAAGTTCAATCGCCAACCCTAAAACCATCATCACTAAACACACCCTCCATCCGCACCATCAGCTCAGCCCTAATTTCAACACACAGCCAGCACCATACCTAGCTTCCGCACCACATTTCAGCACCGATCGTTAAATGAAAAAAATTCTAGATCAAGCCTCTAAAAAGCCACCCAATCCCAAAACCCACAAAATCCCCAAACCCACAAAATCTCCAAAACCCACCGAATTCTCCAGGCACCGACGCGCATGGTCTCCCACCACTCTGCACCGCGCGCGCGGTAGTGCCGCGCCCACTCCTGCATCCGCGCGCGCGGCGAAAAAACAACCCTCAACAACACTCCAGATCCCAGCCCTAGCCGCCCAGCCCTCTTCAAACCCACGCACAATCACCCCTCATACCGCCATGTCGACGCCCGCAGACCCCGGAAGCAACCCCGGCGCACCGCAGAACGGGCCCCTGCCCATGCACGTGGACGAGCGCGAGCTCCCTGCCGAAATCGCGGCCAAAAACGAGCCGCTCAGCGACCAGCAACAGCCGCCGTCGGAAACGGCGTCGGATTTGCCCTCCGAGCCCGCCAAGGACGAGCCCGAGCACGTGGACTTGGAGAAGGCACGTGCCGAGTTCCAGGAAAAAGCCCGCACGTATTTGATCGAGCAGTCGCGCCACGTGGTGGTGCCGTCGTTTGCGCAGTGGTTCGACATGAACGAGATCCACGCCATTGAGCGCAAGCTGTTCCCGGACTTTTTCCCGGAGACGGCGGCGCCAGCGGACGAAGTGCCGGTGCCGGCGTCCGTGTACAAAACCGCGGAGACGTACCGCAACATGCGCGACTTCATCATCAACACGTACCGCATCAACCCGGTGGAGTACTTGACCGTGACCGCGGTGCGGCGCAACTTGGCTGGCGACGTGGCGTCCGTGATCCGCGTGCACCGCTTCCTTGAGAAGTGGGGCTTGATCAACTACCAGATCGACCCGCGCACCAAGCCCTCGCTCGTGGGCCCGCAGTACACGGGCCACTTCCAGATCACCTTGGACACGCCCAAGGGCTTGACGCCTTTTGTGCCCGAGGAGGTGGCCGTGAAAACAGCGCCCGAGGCGGCCGTGCTGGCGCCGGCGGCCGCGGCGCCCGCGCCCAAGAGCGAGCCCGAGGACACCGCCACCATCCCATTGAACATCGACATCACGCGAAACATCTTTGACGAGGCCTCGGCCGCGAAGACCCCGGCCTCGGTCACGTACCTCTGCAACGAGACCGCCAACGACGTCTCGGACGTGCGCTACCACAACTTGAAGAGCAAGGCGCTGGTGGGCGGCAGCATCGGGCCCCTGGTCATCAGCAAGGAGTGCTACGAGCAGGGCCTCTTCCCGCTGAACTTCTCCTCGTCCGACTTTGTCAAGTTGGAGGGCGCCGCGAAGCAGTGCGAGTGGTCGCGCCAGGAGCTCTTGTTGCTCTTGGAGGGCATCGAGATGTTCGGCAGCATCGAGAACAACCCGCAGTCGCTCTTTGTCAACAGCAACGGGCAGTGGGACAAGATCAGCGAGCACGTGGCGTCCAAGACCAGGGAGGAGTGTTTGGTCAAGTTCTTGCACTTGCCCATCGAGGACAGGTACTTGCAGAAGTTGGTGCGCGGCGAGGAGAAGGACGGGCTTGACGAGGGTTTCGACAAGGACACGATCATCCAGCAGGTGGTGGCCAAGTTGATCGAGTCGCCCAAGGGCCAGGAGGCGGTTGCCGCCAACGGGCAGAAAAACTTGCAGGAGAGCATTCTCGATCAGACCAACTTGGTGAACCAGGTCATCGGATTGACCTTGGAGAAGTTCGAGGCCAAGATGAAGCACATTGACCAGCTAGAAAAGGACTTGGCGCAGACCGAAACCCTCTTGAACTCGCAGCGCAAGCAGGTGCTCGTGGAGCGCTGGTTGAACTTCGAGAAGTTGAGCCAGTTCAAGCAAAAGAACACAAATCCCGAGTTGGTGCCCTTGCTCGACGACTTGTTGACGCCTGTCAGCATGAGCGAGATCAACGCCAACTTAAACAAAACCCACACCGACGTGGGCGAGACCACCGTCTTGCAGACAAGCGAGGAGTCGAAGGAAGAGACCTTGCCGGTAAGCTTGACCGCGCCCAAGGCGTACCAGTTCTGGTCGGCCTGATTCTGAAAAACAACGTTTTCCTGTGTACATTAATATTATGGTTTTCAACCCGTAAAGGACATACGGTCAGGCCGGCAGCGTATGCGTGTATTTGGACAGGTCGAACAGTGGCCCCACGAGCCTCGACGACGCCTAGCCCACTACAAAATTCAACGAAATGCGAGGCAGGGCATCTTTGTATGTTTGCCGTGCTCGTCATGAGCGCAGATACCTTTGACGCAATGATGCTTTGACACACAGACCGAGATAATGATTCGAAAAGATATATTTGGAATTTGACATGGATGGTCTTTCGGAGAATGTGAAGTAAGGGAGATATCCACAGGTATCGATGAAAAACGATACTAGCAGCTCACCAGTTCACCGCCCAACAATCTTCAACCGACATTCATAGCCAAAGAAATAGCCGAGTCATGAAGGAACATTCCCATAGCCCCACCAGCATCACCTAAGAAATAGAATATGCCTGTTCAGCACCAACAGCCGCCCACCAAAAAAAAAAAGACTCCCCAGCTCATACCGCCCCATCACTTCCTGCCCGAGAACAGTATTCTCAAACACCCAATACCAAATATTATGAGAATATGTTTATTTATGATGTTAAACGCTTTCGTGTGACGTTTTAATAAATCAGTTCAATCTAGTTCTTCGACTATGAAATAAAGTTCAATATGTGGTATGAATTTTGTTTGTTCATTAGATTTAAATCCAAGCTTATGTGTAATTGCTCTCATCAAATGCATTATTATTAGAGCGGCACTGGCACAATGAAGTATTTGAAACTGTTTTTAATTTGAGTATGAGCGTTCTGAATTATAATATCATAAGAACGGCAGATATATAATACATACATAATAGATATATATATATATATATATATAAGTTTATCCGACTACCGAAAATAGTTCAATATAATATGAATTCTGCTTCTTTCACTATATTCTAATATAAACTCATATGGAAGTCGCTGTCATCTATTGAATTGCTGAAATCCGGGTATAGCTCAATATGGTATGAGCTCTGCTTGTTCATTAGATTTCAATTCAAACTTATATATGCATCCATTGAAGTATTATAAGAACAGTGCGAGGTTAACAGAGTGGTTTAAAGGAATATTTGAATTTAAGGGCTAAGAGTTATAATATGAAGATATCAGATAGAGCATAGATAAATAATAGAGATTTTTAAATACATGTTCGACTATCGAGTATAGTTCAATATGACATGAATCCTGCCTTGTTCATTACGTATATGTACATCCATTGAAGTATTATAAAAACAGTGCAGGAATAATGAAGTAGTTTGGAAGTGATTATAATTCGAATGTAAGGATTCTTATTATCACATAATAAGGAAGGCAGATATATGATATAATAAGGACAAAAGATATATAGTTGAGATGTGATAGAGACTCATATATATACATTCGACTATCGAGTATAGTTCAACATGGTATGAATTCTGCTTGTTTATTAAATTTCATTTCAAAGTCATATGCAAGTCGTTATTATTCATTGAATTGTTGTAAGACAGCGCCGGCATCATGAAGTAGTTTAAAAGTGTTTATAAAGCATTCTGATTTGTGATGGAATGATGACAACGGAGACAAAATATTAATTGAGACGGGCGTTTTTAGTTTAGTCTTTTTCTTTTTTTTCTTCGACTTATGGTTTGTTGGTTTGCTGCTTTCGGTGATACTTCTGGAGATGATCTTTAGTGCTTCTGGCGTGGCTTCTGGTATTACTTCTGGCGTGGCTTCTGGTATGACTACGGTTTTGCTTATGGTATGACTATGGTATTGCTTATGGTATGACTTCCCGTAATGCTTCTGATATGACTTCTGGTAATGCTTCTGGTAATGCTTTTGGTGGTACTTTTGGTGATGATCTTTAGTGCTTCTAATATGACTTCTGGTAATGATTCTAGTAATGCTTCTGGTAATGTTTCTGGTATGACGATCTGTGATGCTTCTGATCAAACCTCTCGGTTCTTCCTCGGCTTGTTAACTCGGCCTATTGTTTCAATTTATCACATCTCTCGATTCTCTCGTTTTTTTTAAAATTCTCCCGCTGCGCCTCTAATTAGTACTCTTAAATCTGGCTTCTGATCATTCCCTGATTCTTCCCTCTGATGCTTCTCTGTGTTTTACTCCTCTTATTCCTCTGGTATTTCCTCTGAATACTTTTCTTCTAACTTCCTCTGATCAATTCTTCCAACTAACTATATAAGAGATAATAGAGATATAGTAGAGATATAGTAGGGAAATAGCTGTAAGGTCCCTGGTGTCAGCTTGACACTGAAATTTCTGTAAGCGCATACTTGCCTATATGCGCTCCTGTATCATCTGCTGTTGAGTACTTAAATATTCAGCGGCTTCACAGATCAAACGTCATCTGAATTCAAACATAGCCTTTTGTCATGCTTTCTGTGCATTCTTTGCCTTAAAATGTTGTTCTTATGTTTGGCGAAGTTTCTTGAACTAGAAGTTCCATCTTGGCCCATGGTTGGCCTCCTTTCCCCGATCTATTGAGAGTGCTGGTTGAATATGTAGACTGATTGGGCTTGTCTGCTGCTGATGACGGAAACCATGACTTGTGCTGTACAGCACCATGGCTGGTCATTGGGCCCCGACTTGCTCGAACTATCACGGCGACCACTGTACAATTAATTTGACGAACTGGGTGTTGACGGCCCTGAGTTTATGAGTTACGGTTTGCATCAGTAGCGCTTGTTTTCAGAGGAAATGAATTCCGACGAGCATAGATATGGCGGGGTGGCTACGGTAAATTTCTCTTCCAGATACTACATGACCAATGCTCACTTACAATACTTGGACGAGGCAAGCACGTGTGATGCGAAAAAATTCGGAGTTTTGAGGACTTGTGGTGTAACAGCCCAGCTGGGGATACGGGAAAGCTCCCAAACAGTGATGGGGACGTGCAGGCCTTTGAAAATGCACCCTGTACCATTGACAGAACAAAGTCCTGGACTTCGCCTCTTCGGCGTTTCAGTTCCGGAACTCCGAAGTCCACAGCAATGCAGGCCCTTGTTTTCGGAAACAAGCGTTTGAGTCCTCCCGGGAATTCCAGAAGCAGGACCTCAATAGAAGCTCGTCTCATATGAATCTGCCAGGATCAGGGAATTGCTGAATTGAAGGTGACGGTTTCGACAACACCCCGACCGGCATGAACAAAGTCCAAAAGAATACGATTCTGAGCTGACCCAAGCTCAAATAGGACCAAAAAAAAAAAAAAAAAAAAAAGAAAAGAACACTTCATGATGAACATGCTATGCATGGTCCATTATGATATGGCACCGCCGCTGCGGCCGCGTTCCATCTCAGCAGGTGCACTGGCCACAGCACCCCTCCATCCACAAATAAATGCAGCGCCCCAAAGAAGGCCAATTTTTAAACATGGAGAAGTCTATAGAGAGAACACTGGATGGACCGCCCTGTCCCGCCACTCATGGCACCAAGACCGTCGGGCCGCTCGCGGCACGTGACCGCATCTCGCGAGCTGACATGATGGGCATCACCAGCCATCGCCGGCCTGCCGGCGCCTTCTCCAAACTGCACATTTGCCGGGCCGATGCTTAAAATACTAAGGCCCAAGCAGGCACGGCTTTTCCTGGCATTTTGGGCACAGGCACGCTGGCTCCACCAGACAACTTTTCCCAGGGCGTCGCATGCACGAGACGCCACTGGTATTCTCGGAGACACCACTAATTTTTCCAGAGACGCCACTGGTTTTCCCAGAGATTCTGCCTCTGGTTCTGGCAGAGATCCCGGTTCTGGCAGAGATCCCGTCGCCGGTTCTACGGACGACGCCGCCCGTTCCGCCTCATCGGCGCGCTCGTCCGTCAAACCTGCTCCGCCACAGCCGGTTGCTCCCGGCTTTCCACAGGCCCAGCCCGGCCCCGAGGACGAGATCGTCGTGGCCATGAGCGGCGGCGTGGACTCGTCCGTCACCGCGGCGTTGTACGCGTCCCAGTACGCCAACGTGCGCGGCATCTACATGGCCAACTGGTCGCAGACCGCCAAGTGCACCGAGGCCGACTGGGTGGACGTCAAGCGCGTGTGTGCGCAGCTCGGCGTGCCCTGCGAGCGCGTCAACTTCGAGAAGGACTACTGGAACGACGTGTTTTCGCCCATGGTCGACATGTACCAGCAGGGCCTCACGCCCAACCCGGACCTCGGGTGCAACCGGCACATCAAGTTTGGGCGCATGGCCGCCCACCTCGGGCTCGGCGAGCCACGCGCCGGCGCCAAGCGCTGGTTGGCCACGGGCCACTATGCGCGCGTGGTGCCGGAGGCGTCGGGCGTGTGCAGCCTTGCGCAGGCGTCCGAGCCCACCAAGGACCAGCTGTACTACTTGGCCAGCGTGCCGCAGGCGGTGTTGGCGCACGTGCTCATGCCCTTGGGCCACTACCGCAAGAGCGACGTGCGGCGGCTCGCGAGGGACCGGTTCCACTTGCACACCGCGGCCAAGCCGGACTCCGTGGGGCTCTGCTTCGTCGAGCCGGGGCACACCAAGTTCCGCGATTTCTTGAACGAGTACATCGCGCCCAACCCGGGCAACATCGTCACGGAGGACGGCCGCGTGTGGGGCCGCCACCAGGGCCTCTGGCACGCGACCATTGGCCAGAAGCTGGGCATCTCCATGCCGCAGGGCGACCCTGCTTATAAGGGCGTGTGGTTTGTCAGCGAGAAGCGCGTGCACTCCAACGAGCTTGTCATTGTGAAGGGCAGGGACCACCCGGCCTTGTACAAGCAGGGCGTGCGGGTTTGTGACTTCGAGTGGTTTGGGCTGCGGCCAGCCACGCTTCCGATGGACACGCTTTGCATGCGGTATCAGTCGCTCCATGAGCCGGTGGCCGTGCAGGCGTTGGAGGAAGGCCTGGGCGGCACTGCCACTATTGTTTTGCATCGCGGCCAGAGGGCCATGGCGCCGGGCCAGAACGTCGTGCTTTACGCCGGGCAGAAGGTCGTTGCGAGTGGACGCATCACCGACACCATCGCGTGAGGGCCCAGCGGTCCACGGGCAGTGTCACGGAGAAGACCGTGCGGACCATGCGTTCCGAGATCGGGCCAGCTGCTTCGTGAAGTGGGGTGTGGGTGTGTGCAAAGAGAACAAACATGTATATAGCTACAAAAGAAAAACATACACCTGCGGGCCAGGCATCGAAGTAGAACAGAAGTTGGAATCAGAGAGAGGCACATACCCAAACCCAAGAAGAAGAATTGAACGCGGGCGCAGCTAGAGCGCGGGCACCGCTTAGAAGGCAGTGATCTCTGGGTACATGGCCTGCGGCTTCGCCTCCTGCTCCTTGGCACGAGGTTCCAGACCCCCGGCCTGTTGGTTGCGCGCAGCCAAGAACTCGCACACCATCTTAATCATGTCTCGGTGCTTCTTCACCGTGTCGGCATCAAACTTCTCGCCAAGAGAGAGCTTGCTGAGCAACCCCGCAGCAGCGTCGTCCAGCAACTCGGTGCTTGAAGAGTCTTTTGGCACCTTGGCTTGCTCGCTCTCGAGGGACTGTCCTGTCTTTTGTGAGTTGCTGACCCCGCCAAACTCAGGATACACCGAGTAGTTCTGGCCGTACTGAGGCACCTGGCCCAACTGGCGGTGCACCTGTGGGAAGCCAGCCGAAGGCGCCGGAGCATAGCCGTCGGCACTGAAGCCATTCGGCATATGCATCCTGTTCAGCAACTGCGGAACAGATGGATACATGGGCTGCGCCTGGGCTTGGTAAACAGGTTGGGGTGCGGGGTTGAAATTGGCGTATTGCGCGTCAATGGACGATGACAAGTTGTTGAAGAACTTCTCCGCCTCGGAAAAGTTGATCTGGTTGGGTGCGGGTGGGGCAGAGAACGCCGCGTTCCGGTTCCCCGAGCCCCACGTGTCCTCATACGAGGACAACCGGTTGTACATGTCCGTATTGTAGTGGGCATCGACCCGCTGCTTCTTAGCGCTGTTGAGAGAGCCCGTGAAGTTGAAGTCGTTAAGAATGTTGAACACCATATTCGCGTTGGGCTGGGCGACGGGCACTGGCTCGAGCCCTCTCTTCCGCGAGTCATATGCCGCTGGCTGGCCAAAACCCGCCTGCGTGTAGCTGAGCTCGCCACCCTGTGCATGGCCTTGGTAAAGTGGGCTGTTGTCGGTTGAGCTGTGCATGGACAGCATTGTGTGCGAGGAGCCATCATCAGACAGGTCCTGCGACTGGTGCTTCTGGTACTTCTTCAACGTCTTCTGGTACTCTTCCTCGTGCACGCGCGAGTGTTTTTTCAAATCCTGTGGCCGCTTAAAACTCTTGGTACACAAGTCACAGTGGTGCGGCTTCAAGGGCACGTGCACGCGCAAGTGGGACGTGATGTGGTCCCGCTTCACCGTGGTGATGCCACAGCCTTCCCATTGGCATGTCAAGCTTAAGTTGTTGGACGACTTGCGGCCCACGTGATCGAGGCACAAGTGGTCGTACAAGACTTCCGGCACGTCGAAGATTTCATTGCACAGCTGCCAGTGGCAACGGAAGGGGCCCTTCATGTCGGCAGCACGCACCTTGTTGTACGTTCTCTTGGGCTTCTTAACTTCATCCAGAGACTCCTCTTTGCACTGCCGGGGCCCGCCTGGCGCGTTTCCAGAAATAGTATATGAGGCGTTGTTGGCGGGGACCATGTGACCACCATAGGGCAGCACAAACGTGGCCGCCGAGAAGTCTTGCTTCATCAGCTCGTGGTGGCGGAGCGGGGAGTTCGCCGACAGCTGCGAGGAGAAGGAGTCGTGTGGCGAGTTTGAGTTTTGGGTGGCGGGCGAGTTGGTGACAGCATCCGAGGCCGGGTCCAAGTCAAACTCAAGCACGTTTCCTGCCATGTTTTCCTGAGTAGCGTTGAGATACGACACAGGATGTAAGCTGTAGGCAGTGGTCATATTGGGGATTCACCGATGGGGAACGCTCTTAAGGGAGAAATGAAGAGAAAAAGGGAATAGTCGAGAGCCAACGGGTGATGTGGGCGGCTAATCTGCGGACGTAGTTCCGGCGTATTTCAGTGGTAGTTTTGGGTGCTTTCGAAGAAGTTTGGGTGTACTTCGGTAGCAAGGGTGTACGTTCGTAAAGGTTTCAGTGTGGTTTCAGACACTTACAAGAACACGCTGCACGATAAACTTGAGGATCGGGGAGCGCAGGGATCTCAGCGTGCACGGCGAGATCAGGAATATCAGCAAATGTCAGTCGATAACACGTGAATCGAAAATATGGGGTGCAAAAAATAGTAGTACCTAGCGCGGGAGAAACTCGAGGGCGGGAAGCAGCAGCCATATGCTTCCCCTTTATTCAGACGCCAATTTTGTCACGTTACCTAATTCTTTTGCCGATTTTTTTTTGCCAAGAAGTCATTTGCCAAGCATTACCTGCATGCCTGGAATCTCGGCCTATTGTGATCTTGAGCGCGCGCTCTATATGCAGTAAATATAAGATGCGCCCCGGCTGTGTCGTGGGGTCGTGGTGACGAGTAGTGCCATTCGTAGTGCAGCAGCATGCACGTCGGGGCCGCGGAGGAACTGTAGCATGACGCAGTGCACCGCCGAGCAGCGGGGATATTTCTTTTTGTTTATGGTTCGCGAAGCGCGACATTCCTATAAAGATTTTCAAGTCGTTAGCCCTCTGAGAATTGTCGTCTCCCGGCAACTTGAACACAGACACAGCCCCGTTTCCCAAAGTTCAGAAATGGAAAGTTAACACGAAGACTATTCCGCAGAATTTCTAGAAGGCCTTCCATGCACTCACAGGTCGAAAAGTGACAGGCCAGCCAGAAATTTCTAAATCATAGCAATCAAGGGATAACAAGCTTTACTAGTGCGCAATAGTTTCCGAGTCAAAAAGTCTAAGTCTAGCAGATAAAAAGAAATGCCTTCAGCCAGATTCGAACTGACGATCTCCTCATTACTAGTGAGGTGCCTTACCAACTTGGCCATAAAGGCTGCGAATCGTCTCCCGGGGGTGAGTCGAACACCCGATCTCAAGATTACAACTATCTATTACAGTCTCGCGCCTTAGCCAGCTTGGCCACCGAGAGTGATGATTCGGGACTCTCAGACCTGCTCTTGGCTATATACATTTGCTTTAGATCTTCATTAAGTTATTCCTCAATGATAGGCAGATAACTGCTACGACATTTTGCTTATATGATAAAAGGTCTCCTTCTAATACTTTATTAGAACTCTCGAGAGGGCTTTGAAGGTTTTTGTTCCACTCCCTATGTCCTTTTTAAAAAAACATCATAATATAGGAGTGTCACTGAAGAAATGTAAATCCCCACCACTAACGAAAGACTGTACGGAAAAAACTATAATATATCGCAACATTGGCTCAGGTGAGAAGGCGCGAGCACCACAAAATCTCCCGGATAGAATGTGACCCCCCTTAAAAAGACTTCTATGACCCTCCAATGAGATCAATCTTGAAGAAAACAAGTAGCTTTCTCATAAATAGATCAATCTCTTGACAGGTTTGTAGCAGACTTTTATTTTGAGATTTGGGCAAAAGGGTGACTCTAATTATTTACACAGTACAAATCTGTCATATATGCTCTGAGATGTTTCTGTGTTTTGAGCTCCCCTTTCAAATTTTTTCAGCGGCGGGCAGCAGTATCCTCCAATACCTATGGTTCTTTGGGGGAAAATTATTAACAATGAAAAATACGGAATGAGCAGGAAATTCGATTTGAAGTTGAGCAATTGGAAACATCGGGGTCCTATCAATCATTGTTTTTCTTCAAAGAAAATCTCTCAACCCTCAATTCCTTCGATATATACTCTGATTCCTCCGATATATACTCTGATTTAATCAAAAGATCATTCCAGCGAAACATCTTTGAAAACAATCACAAGCTACTTCTCTATATGAGCTCCTGCTGTTTAAGTCTTTTCAGAGTGTGACAATGTATCTGGTCTAACTTGTATCCCCTATTTTCAAGCTACTGACGTGTGTACTCATCATTAGAAAATCTCGCATATGCTCGTGGGGATCATTTTCTCAAACTCATAGCTTCTAGCAAAAAGTAGCTGTGGTACATGTGAGCCTCATGCATTCCAAATTCCCTTTAGTATGAGAGACAACACCGGGGTCTTGATGAAACTATGCGCCTGAATTAGCCTACTAGAAAAGTTATGAAAATTATGTAGATGATTAAATTGCCCGAAGGCAGGTATGCTTTGCGGAGCATGTATATGGGATTCACCTCATTTGAGCTTTATAGACTCTTTTTGTGAGTGAGCTGATTTCTTGATGGACTTGGAATTCGACTGACCTGTAACTTGTGGATGGAAAACTGGAACATCATTTCATCACTCACAAAAATTTTGGAGTTTTGTATTTGTTTTTCCTGAACGCATACATCTATGCACGGACTCTTGGCACTTTGATATTGTGTAGTCAGACTCCAGGTGTAAACTTTCTCGGAACACCCTTGAAGAATTGATAGCACTTAAATGTGTTTCCAATATATCCATCATTGATATGAACTGTACAGTCAATGTCTATCTGTTAGCGCTAAAGCTATTAATACCCGAAACGTATTCGTCCATATCTTTTGGGGCTGTCTCAGTGAGCTTGTTCTCATCTGCAACATCCGCAACTTGTACGTATCTAGACGCTGTTCTAAGCATAGCCTTGCTCCTTAAATCAGATGAATATACCATAAAAAAAGTTTGGATCTATCGCTGAAAAATCCTTGGGATAAGTTCAGTGAAGAAATGGCCACCGAGCTGCTCGAAATAACCAGAACATTAGGAGATTATCACTTTTTTCTTCTGTTTCATGATTTTTAGGCAAAAAAATAAGCATTTTAACTACGCTCGTTAAAATAAGTAGACATTCTGGGCCATTCCAAACAACTATCTTTTTTAAACTTCTGGCCCTACATATTCCGTCACGCATTCCTTGACTGCCTGTGCACTGTTTCTGTGCAGTCGCACATCTTACGAGGACCAAGCCAACATCTTCGTCGACTCGATAACAGGAGACCCAGCAAGCTCGGTGAAAAGCACCCAAAAAGCCCAGAAAAAGCTAATTTTGTCCCTCATTCCACAACAATCTATCTGCGAATTATAGGTGCCATGAACACCCACACACAGCAGAGAATGCAGGCTCCGCAGTCCGCCACGCAGACCCAAACTAGCCCATCCAACCAGGCCGTTCTACATCTTCGGCCAGCTGCAGAAACCACGGTGCTGGCGTCACGGGCACGTGACCCGGCCGATGACGCCAGGCCCGGTGTCCGCTGGACCACTGATGTCGTGGACAACGAGCACTTGAACAAGAAAAAACTGAAGATCTGCTGCATTTTCCATCCTCAACGGGAGTTCGGCGAGAGCTCGGACGAGTCGCTGGGCAGCTCTTCGGAATCGTCGGACTCGTCAGATGATGAAGCAAATGAGCACCAAAAAGAAGAGCAAAGTCCCCAGAACGGCGGTGGAGGCATCGACCACCAAGCCCATTGTTGCGGTAAGCACAAGGTAAAGAAGAGAAAGAACAAGCCCGCCACACCGAACGCTTATGAGAAACAGCCGCAGTATAAGAACCGAAGCACATTACCCCCTGGATCCATATAGCACTAAAACCACGACCTGCGTGGGGTTGCAGTCGAGAATGTAAATGCAAATGTTTTACCTCTATGTAGAAGGGTCCAGGTCTGTTCAGCCGTCCGAGTGTTCCGGGTTGGTCACGTGCCAGATCCGGCGGGAATAGTCGTTTTCGTCGTTGAGCGACATCATCGAATTGTTGTACTCCTCAAACATAGCATGGGGCTCTAAGACGTTGTCGAACTCCAGGATCGGCGCCATGATGGGACCCCCAGTGTCCTGGACCTCGTTTTTCGGACTGAGATTCTTACGCGACAGGCTGCGCCCAAGTGTCGCGGACGCAATGCCTCCCGTGCCCCCAGAAACGGCATTGAACATCGACATGATGGGCTTGCTGATACTGCTCCGTCGCAGGCTCGAATGTGATGACGAGCGCGTTTTCGGGCTTGGCCCGCCGGGCGTGCCCACGGGTGCCGCGTTTGTGACCGACGTATCGTCCGACGTGTACTGCTTCTCCTCATCCGTGTAGTCGTCGCGGTGTGTTCTGGCTGCGAAGCAGCAGCAATAGAGCAACGCGGCCACCAAAGCAGCCGCAACAACGCCCACCGCAGTGAAAGTGCCGGCGACTTTGGCTGTGGAGTCGAAAAATGAGTTGCCCAGTGCCGCTGCGGACAGCAGCGACGCGGACGCCGACGTGCTGGCCGTGGCCGTGACGTACTTAGTCAGCACCAGCTGGGTTAAAGTGCCATCGATTGTGACCACCGACACGATTGTGGTCGCTCGTGTGACCATGGCAATGTCCGATGATACTGGTGGGGATGATGCTGATGTTGATGCTGAGGATGAGGGTGATGCTGAGGGTGATGCAGGCGAGGAGGAGGACTCACTCGATGGAAGTGCCGACACGATAGGTGACGATGCAACTTGCGCCACGGAATCCGTGGTTGCAGATGTTTCCGATGATGTAGAAGAGGTGGGTGGGGCCGGCTGCGAGGTGCTGGGCGTTGATGTAGAGCTTGAGCTTGAGCTTGAGCTTGAGCTTGAGCTAGAGCTAGAGCTAGAGCTAGAGCTAGAGCTCGATGATCGGGTTGTAGCGGGCTTGGAGGAGGACGTGCTTTGGTCCGAACGGGTCGCCGTGGACGCACTGCCAAACACAACATAGCCGTACACGCCGTCACCTCCGCAGACCTCTTCCTCACTATAGCCAGGACATCCAATGTCGCACTGGGAATCATCCACGACATCGGCAGGCACGGTGTTGGAGCACCAGCAGTCGTAGTTCTGTGTGATTGCAACCGAGTAGCCGGCATCAGCACAGTAGTCCCGGCAATAGCCGTTGGACATGTATGAGTCGGACGTCTGGCCCGAGCCGAGGTTGGTGGACGAACATAGCGTGATGGCCAAGGCTGCCGCTAGATCCATGTATGCCAAGAGAAGGAGC